AATAATGAAGTAATAGAGAAAGTTTATTTTTAAATTTTCTATTCATTGTCAGCATAAATTGGTTTTGGACAAGTAATTTCTTTAAACTTATCTCTAACAAATGGACGAATGTTTTGATAAAGATATTCTTGTCTTTTGTAATCCAAGGGAGGTGGTGTCAACACTAAAACAGAGAAAACTTTAATTTCTTTAATAATTTGAGAAACATCTGATTTTCTAGTTTGCAATAAATTAAATTTAATAAAAGTTCCATTGGCAACTGTTTGAGTTTTTACAATACCAGGACTAGCTGCTTCAAAAAAAAAGTGTTGATATTTTTGTAGACCATTTAATTTCTTGAAATAAATTCCCAAAATAGCTTTAATATCTAAGTATTGAAAGCCTTTCCACCTTCATAACACTGAGCTTTATTTAATCCAGCTGGGCTAGACTTTTTTACCACCTCAACCACATGACCCAGACAGTCTACTCTTGTTCTTCTATAGAGTTTTTTAATCAAGCCAAAACTACCATCACACTTGAATTTGGTATGTCCTGGAATCATGAAATTCAATTCAACACTTTCATAATATTCACAAATTACTAAATATAAATAAAATCAAATAGTCACATTATTTTTATTTTGTCCACCAGCATTATCACAAGTAATCTTTAAATGTTTTTCACCTTTATTTAATTTCTTAATTCCATCAAAGATCATACTAAGTGTGCCATTAGGACCTTTTCCTATGATTTCATTTTCATTAAGAACATAATTAATTTGTCCCTTACAGTCATCCATAATTTCACAGGATCGACATGTCTACTGCTGTAGTAGTCGGACGACATTTCACAGTGACTGATTTTAATATATGATTGACATGGCATGTTTTCTGTACAATGGACTTTGGTGAATGAATTGAACGTAAACTCATTATTAAACAATTTTCATGCCTCTAAGTAAAAACAATCACTTGCCTTTGACCTTTAAAACGTGAGCTTTATGCATTTGTAGCTCTTCCAGTTATGGAGTAATAGCCTCTCAAAGAAACCTATGGTTTTTGACTTCGG